GAAATATCAATAACCTCAGATATGCAGATGACACCACCCTTATGGCAGAAAGTGAAGAGGAACTAAAGTTGGCTTAAAGCTCAACATTCAGAAAACTAAGATCATGGCATCTGGTCACATCACTTCATGGGAAATAGAGGTGGAAACAGTGTCAGACTTTATTTTGGGGGGGCTCCAAAATCACTGCAGTTGGTGATTGCAGCCATGAAATTAAAAGACGCTTACTCCTTGGAAGGAAAGTTATGACCAACCTAGATAGCATATTAAAAAGCAGAGACATTACTTTGCCAACAAAGGTCCATCTAATCAAGGCTATGGTTTTTCCAGTGGTCATGTATGGATGTGAGAGTTGGACTGTGAAGAAAGCTGAGCGCCGAAAAATTGATGCTTTTGAACTGTGTGGTGTTGGAGAAGACTCTTGAGAGTCCCCTGGACTGCAAGGAGATCCAACCAGTCCATCCTAAAAATCAGTCCTGGGTATTCATTGGAAGGACTGATGCTGAAGCCGAAACTCCAAAAGTTTGGCCACCTGATGTGAAGAGTTGACTCATTGGAAAAGACCCTGATGCTGGGAGGGATTGGGGGCAGGAGGAGAAGGGGACGACAGAGGATGAGATGGACGAATGGCATCACTGACTCGATGCACATGAGTTTGAGTAAGCTCCGGGAGTTGGTGATGGACAGGGAGGCCTGGCGTGCTGCGATTCATGGGGTCGCAGAGAGTTGGACATGACTGAGAGACTGAACTGAACCTTAAAAGGTGCTAAGATTAAGAAAGCTAAGGAAAGACTGTATCAAACTAAAGGAAACTAAGGAGATACAGCAACTAAACAGAATATGTGATTCTGAACTAGACCCTTTTGCTCTAATTTAGGATATGATTGGGACAACTGGTGAAATTTGATGGTATCTGAATAAACTAGATGGCAAAAAAAAATGTGTCAATGTCAATTTTAATTTTCTATTTTGAAGAGCTATGCTGCAGTTACGCAGGAGATCGTCTTTGTAGAAAACACACAGGGAGGTACTGGGGGTAATAAGGCATCAAGTTAGCAACTTACTCTCAAACATTTTAAGGGGAAAAAAAAATTCTCTACACAGTACTTGTAACTTTTCAGTTAGGCTGACAATGTTTTAAAAGGAAAATCAATAAATGAATCAAAGAAAGAAAGAAAATAAAATTCATAAATGCCCTCTCACAAAATGCTCTTGATTATATAAACTGATAAACTTTTCTTCATAAGTAATTTAGGCAATATGTTGAGAAATTTTTAGTCTTAAACATGCATTTTATGGGGAATTCCCTGGTGGTGCCTTGTGGCTCAGCTGGTAAAGAATCCACCTGCAATGCAAGAGACCTGGGTTTGATCCCCGGGTTGGGAAGATCCCCTGGAGAAGGGAAAGGCTACCCACTCCAGTGTTCTGGCCTGGAGAATTCCACGGACTATAGTCCATGGCGCTGCAGAGTCAGACACGACTGAGCAACTTCCATTTTCACTGGTGGTCTAGCAATTAGGATTTTGTGCTTCTACTGCAGGAAGAACCGGTTCGATTCCTGGTGGGGAACTGAGATCCTGCAAGTCATGAGGGATAGCTAATAAATAATTTTTAATTATTATGACCTTTTACCCAATAAGTTTATCTCTGGTAATCTGGCCAAAGAAAATAATTCAAAACAAGTTTAATTTATATAGATGTTAATTTCAGTAGTACTCATAATAGTAAAAATGTTTAACCACCGAGGAATCCTATTAATGGGAAATTTGTGTCAACTACTACTCACATTAAAAAAGAAAATTCTATGCCAGTGAAAATAATATATAAAGAGATTTGAACAACATGAAAAAAATGTTCATGCTCTAACACTTACAAAAAGAATTTTGGCAATATCATCAAAATTACAAACATGTATTCCTTTTCACTCAGAAATTCCAGTGTTAGGGGGTTTTATCCTACTGATTTATACACACATATAAAAAGACTGTAAGTTTCTTATATATTGAAAGGTTTTTTACCACTACATTGTTTGTAACATCAAAAACTTACATGTTTCAACTAAATGTCCATCAAGTCAGAAAAATTACATCTATAAAACAATATTCTGTGGTTTCAAAAAAGAAAATAAGGAAGTTCTTTATGTACTATCGCAGAAGCCTCTCTACAATATTAAATGAAAAGAACAAGCTGAAAGAGTGTGCCTAAAATTAGGAATATATATATTACACACACAGAGAGAAACATAAACTTGTTTCTGGACTACCTCGAGAAGAATGTACAAGAAAAGAAAGCACTAGTTGCCTCCAAAGAAGGTAACCAGGTAGCTGAGAGGGACTTTTTACTATTTTATTCCTTTCTATGCTTTCTGCATTTTTTAGCATGTGACATTATGTTTCCTTCTAAATTAATTAAGCCTAATGCTGAAAATTTAATAAACAGTTTACAAAAATACATAAAGAAAGGCACTTTCCTGTCTTTCACATTTTCTTTTTTTCATGTTTTCCATTGATCCTGTATTATTTAGTCAGAGATTTAATATATTACTTTAAAAACTGACAGGATTAGGCATGACTACCTAGGGAAAAACGTGGTTAAAATGTGTAACATCAAACGTAAAAATGAAAGAAAAAATTTTAAAGGCTCATATTTTATTACTACTACTCCATATTATTTGAAAAAAGCCAAACAGAAACTTAAAATACTCTAACCTTTCATAAAGCATACTGTTACCCCAAATCCATGTTCCCACTTCATTCTTCATTTCAAACAACTTGTTTCACTGAATGGCTAAGATTCACGTGCCCTGTGTGCCCAGTCCTGTCGGACTCCTGGCGACCCCACGGACTGCAGCCCGCCAGGCTCTTCTGCCCATGGGGTTTCCCAGGTAAGAACACTAGAACGGGTTGCCATTTCCTCCTCCAGGGGATCTTCCTGACCCAGGGATGGAACCTGTGTCTCTCCTGTCCCCTGCACTGTAGGTGGATTCTTTACCACTGTGCTACCACATAGATAAGGCTAAGAAACAAAGTCTTTCTCTCTGATCTGTTCAAAAAAAGAAAGCCTTAAAACAACCAATGAAGACTTCCTTGGTGGTCCAGTGGTTAAGAATCTGCCTGCCAATACAGGGGACATGGGTTCAATCCCTGGTCCAGGAAGATTCCACATGCTGCAGGACAACCAAGTCCATTCACCACAACTACTGACCTGAGCGCCCTGGGCCAGTGCCCTACATCAAGAGAAGCCTCCACAGCGAGAAGCCCGAGCACCGCAGCCAGAGAGGAGCCTCCACCTGCCCCCATGAGAGAAGCCCTCAGGCAGCAATGGAGACCCAGCGCAGCCATAAATACATAACACATTTTTTTTGAATGCCAACATTTTCTGTTTATTGTTTTTGAAGTTGGAATTATAAATAAAATCTATCCTATCTTAAGAGTAACAAAATATATGAGTTTAGGTAGTAACTCAGAGAGAGGCCAACTATGTAGACAGAAGAGTTCTTGTTCCCATTCCAACTTTAATGTGGCAATCTGCAATCCATGGGAGACTCTGCTTCTCTTTCATCCTAAGCACACAGCCTGAAAAACAGATACTTAAAACCAAGATCACCAGTGAGTCACATCTCAACTGCTAATGAAATAAATAAAAATGAGAGAAATGAAGGGGAGATCTAGGAAGAGACTAGTAAAGCTACAGGAAAGAAGTTAAACTGCAAGAGACCAGATCAGTTGACACTTCTCCATATCTGGGTTTAAACCTGGGAATAAGCTAAACACTAAGCTCCCCAGCTCCAAAAGGGTAAGGACTTCATTCAACACAAATAAATCAGCACTCTTTCCAAAGTTGCTGCCTAATGTTAAGTGACATGACCAAGAACTGAAACCAGGTCTAGATTCTTAATCAAAATGCTATATTGTCTCTATCCTAACAAATTAAGCCTATTTCTTCACCTGGAATATGTACAGGTTTCATTTCAACTTTGTTGTGATACACAAAGGATATAAAGTAGTTTAATGTAATAGGGTACCACTTCTCCTAGTAGTAGCAACTGTGATACAGGGGAACAGACAAGCCTGTGTTACTCTACGATTCACCACCTCAATATCTGCCTCAAAGAGAAGAGGAAAGAGAAATTTTGCATTCATATCCAGACCACTTCAAAATATTTTGCCTCTTTCAGCTAAATGCCTTCTATTATAACCTTGCAAGTTAATAGACAAGCTTATATTTCATCTTTTATCATCAGTAAAACAGGGAGATGTATGTACTGCTTGGAAACCCCTTTTAAAGTGGTATCATAATAAAATGGATTAAAAATATCAAATGCTGAAAAGACAACACAGTAGTTTAACATATCAAAATATCGTCAAATTAATTTAAGATTAAATATATACAGATCATTCCCAAATGACAGTTTATATGGAATGATTCTGCAGAGCAATCTGCTTTAAACTGAGGCACTCCAATGCCAACATCTTCCAATTCTCTGTGCCACAAGAAGCCAAGATAACCGCTAATCTGAAACTGACCTAAATTTTCTTTTGAAAAGTATTTTATAATTACACAGAAACACTGATGTATCTGGCAATTCACAATAATACATATTGTGTTTTATTATGTTTAAACATTTCACTTAGTAGAAACTTGTTATTCAATTCTACTTGCTATGTAATTCTAAAGTAAATATCAGCCGAGAACAGAACTGCCTGCTAAACCTTACTTCTTTAAGAGCAAAAAAGCTAATTACTTTTCCTGGTTATTTTCACAATGGATACTGTTTAAACCTGCTTGGTTAATCAGTAAATATTCATTGATCAGGATTTAAGGACCAAATACTGCTTACATCAAAAGATATTTACATATAAGGAAAATACATAGTTAAATTCATTTAAAGTACTTCAGTGGAGCTGATGCAATTAAAACAAAATTGGAAAAATTACTGACAGTAACTTAAAAAAACTATTGTTAAAGTAGCTAGTGACATTCTAGAATTTCTAAATACTCACTTGTAGCAGGTAAGCACTTCCTGGATCTAACAAGCTCACAGCCTCGTTCTGTACTGTGTTCTGCTGTGTGATCGCATCTTCTCGTTTCCGCTCTTTCTGCCCAGCTTCATCATCTTCATACTCATCTAAGCACTGAAAGAAAGAATAGCTTTCATTTTATTTCTATATAATATTAATAAAATGTTTTAATAGTACGTGGAGATAAATTTGATAGCGAGTAGAAATATGGAGCATTCAGAAACTACACAATAAAAGTGTTCCTTTCAATAACAGGTGCATTTAATTCCTATAAACTAAATTATCTGCTTAAAACCCAAATCTCCACATTCACACCCCTGTCAACATCTTTTCTCGAGGCTCTGACTACTGACAGGGTTTGCTTAAAGCTAGGGTCCATTTTTTCTCTCTCACTCTATCTTCAAGTAAATGGACTGTGTACCTTAAAGCACTTCTTGGAGGGTAATAAAAGATATACCACACAGACACAGAATGCAGAATCTAATGGAAGATGTGTACACATGTGTGTGTATGTGCACAGATAACTCATTGATAGCAGCCCTTTTTCTACCTTAGTAGTACCTATGAGTATTTTCACTTCAAGAGTAAGTCTTCAACAAAAGACTCTGTAGATCTTGTAACTTAAAAAATGAGTTTAATTTGGAATTGCAAATACAGGAAAAAGAATTTCAGATGATGGGAAGCGCATATGGAAAAGCTTGCATGAAAAAGCACTGTTTAAAAAATTGAATCAACACCTGCATTATCTACCTCCAGGCTTCGTCCATGGGGGGGGGGGACCCACAAACAAAAAACAAAACCCTATCCATTACACCCAATGTGAAACGGTGGTCATCTAATCCTTGTAACTGAACACATTCTTAACCAATACAGTGCCTTTGTGTGTTCTGTAAGAGACAAAAAATAAATAATATCTCTGCAGGCACTCTGAGATACACCTACAGCAGGGCAGCAGGAAAGACAACAGGATTCACATATTGTACACAGAGAAGAGAAAGACTGAAGCCGATGTGCAAACCCAGGATCACTGGCACTTACGGCACAGGAGGACACGGAAAGTCAGCAGCACGTTCAGACACAGGGGCCACGTGGGGGATGTGGAAGAAGCATCTGTCTGAGATGCAGTCTTAAATCAAGACGTAATGGAGAGAAAGCTGGGGGATGGAAGGGAAGGGATGAATTAAAGAAACAAGTAGGCTGAGACTCCAGAAAACATTCAGGGCCCCTCCTGCAATGCAACTAACTGTGTACAGGAGTCGCCTGGCCCTCATCTCCTGGAACTAGGGCCTAGGTAACTAGTACAAGAAATGTGGTAAGATTGTGGCTGCCGCTATTGCTGTAACAAACTGCTCCTGACTCTGACCCAGGAGACTAGTGTCTTCTACCAGGATCCATGAACCCATAGGAGGATAACTAACTCATTAGCCTATGAGAGGCTAAGATCTCAGATCCTTTAAAGTTCTTGACAGAGGCGAGTAATGGAAAGGCATATGCTCTGTTCACAAAGAAATACAGATAATAAATAGCCTTAGAAGTCTGCACTTTTGATTACATAACATGGAAAGATGTTCTACTGATACAATTCCCTGGAATATAAATAAAACATGGTCAAGACTGACTTGGGGCAGGAACTTGTACCAGCAATTCAGAGTTCTGACTAATAGGGACAGGGACCAAAAGTGGAAAGACTAGTTAAAACAACATAGCAGGCAATGTGGTCCTATGAAAAATGATATATTCGGGAATTCCCTGTCGATCCAGTGGTTAAGACAGCGCTTTCACTTCTGGGGCCCACATTCAATCCCTGGTTGGGGAACTAAGATCCCACAAGCTGTGCAGCAGGGGCAAAAAAAAAAAAAAAAAAGATATATCTGAGGTAGGAAACAGACTCAATAAAAGAAATCTAGTAAAGGGTACCAAAGTTTAAGAAATTAGTACTGATGAGAAGAAGAAAAACATCTCTTAGGACTTTTAAAAAGACTTTTTCAAACCAACAGATAAATGTTTTATGCCAAAATAACAACAAAATTTAAAAGCAAAGCCATACTTAAAAGACACCGATGTCCACTATCAACACAGATGTTAACATCACTCTGGAAGTGCTATCTGATAAAACTAGGGAAGAAGAATAAGAGATTTCAGCATTAGAAACAAATTTTCACCATTTCAAGTGTATGAAAACTTATGATAAAGATGCTAGAAAAGAGAAAGGAGTACAGAAATTCCTCAATAAATAGTACCAAGGGGTCAACAGAGGCTTTCCAGGGGGCGCTAGTGGTAAAGAACCCGCCTGCCAATGCAGGCGATGCAAGAGACACAGGTTCAATCCCTGGGTAAGGAAGATCCCTGGAGAAGGAAATGGCAACCCACTCCAGTATTCTTGTCTGGAAAATTCCACGGACAGAAGAGTCTGGCAGGTTACAGTTTATGGGGTCACAAAGAGTCCGACACAACTAAGCAACTAACTCTTTCACTTCACAAAGAAATGTTAGTGGAGGTATTAAAATGCGTTCTATGTTAGATTTAAAAATTATAAGAATTTGGATTTTGGAATCTGAGAGACAAAGATTCAAATTCCAGGTTGGTCACTTAAAATAGTAATAGCATCTACTAATAACTGAGTATCATCTAGGTGTGTAGACCACTGTTAACACTGACAGCTAGTATTTCAAACACATGTAATTTTCACCAAAATCACAGAAGGTGTGTACTATTGTATATAAGAATGTGAGGATTGGAATTAAGTAAGAGACTGAAGGACACAAAGTTGTTGAGGGGTGCAGTCAGAACTCCAGCCCAAGCAGCTTAAACCACAAACTCAATTTTCCAACTACCATGTATAACCTATTTATCAGACATGAAATCCATTTAGTGCACCATAACCCAGAGTTCAAATGAAGAAAAAGAACAGAAGATATCAGTGAGTGCTTTTCAGTGGAACTTTGGTTTCATACTGTTTGTGAGGGTCTTAGGTCAATTTACAGAACAGAGTTACTGGAAGTTACAGGACAAATGGAGCAGCTAAGAGCTAACCATTGCTGTAGCTGGAAAACAGTTATATATTCATCTACTCTGTAGTTCTGCATATGTTAACATTTCTACCTCTGTTTTTCCATTTTAAAGGGACTTCAAGGAATTCTATCAGGTCTCATTTCCATGTTTATTTCAGTCACTGACAGCAGACCAAACTTCCCCAGGTCTCATCCAACACTAGCACAGACTCTTCTTTCCATACTGCCTGGTACATTCCTTAATCTGGCCCAATCCTTTGTCCCACCTCTCCCTTCTAAATCATTCCTTAGTGTCCTCTGGAATTCCTGCTGACTAACATTTTGCTTTCCTCAGCTACAGAATGAAATCTAGTTGGCTCCTTGAAAAAGACCTTTCTCCAGTAAGTTTCACTCAACTTGAACCTATTTGTTTTTGAAGTTCTTTCATACCTTTGGGCCTGGTGAAAGGATTCCCTATTCTTTGACTGTTTCTCTGGCCAATGATTCTTACTCAGTCAATATCACATCCTACAAAGCAGGCAATTTTGTGGAGGAATTTCTGCTCATGTTGATAATTTTAAAAAATTACTTGTTTATGGATCAGAAGCATGAAATGGATATCTTGCATCTGAAAAATTAGTCCCTCTAAGAAAGAACTGACTCACATCCCATCCAAATGTAGACTGTAATACTGAACAGTCATGCAGAAGAAAAATCTATTTACAATTTAGTCAGTTCAGTTCAGTCAACTCAGCCGTGCCTGACCCTGCGACCGCACAGACTGCAGCACGCCAGACTTCCCTGTCCATCACCAACTCCCGGAGTTTACTCAAACTCATGTCCATTGAGTCGGTGATGCCATCCAACCATCTCATCCTCTGTCATCCCCTTCTCCTCCTGCCTTCAGTCTTTCCCAGCATCAGGGTCTTTTCCAATGAGTCAGCTCTTTACATCAGGTGGGCAAACTTTTGGAGTTTCAGCTTCAGCATCAGTGCTTCCAATGAATGCTCAGGACTGATTTCCTTTAGGATGGACTGGTTGTATCTCCTTGAAGTCCAGGGGACCCTCAAGAGTCTTCCCCAACACCACAGTTCAAAGGCATCAATTCTTTGCTGCTCAGCTTTCTTTATCGTCCAACTCTCACATTCATACATGACTACTGGAAAAACCATAGCCTTGACTAACGGACCTTTGTTGACAAAGTAATGTCTCTGTTTTTGAATATGCTGTCAAGGTTGGTCATAACTTTTCTTCCAAGGACCGTTTTTTAATTTCATGGCTGCAGTCACCATCTGCGGTGATCATGGAGCCCAAAAATAACCTGAGCCTAAAGACATTTTAGAAGCAACAGCTGTGCGACAGTGCAGGAGACAGTAGCTGAGAGGAGCTACCCCAAGTCCGAAGTAAGGAGCAGTGGCTGCGCTTTGCTGAAGCAGCTGTGAAGAGACACCCCACGTCCAAGCTAAGAGAAACCCAAGTAAGACAGCACGTGCTGAGAGAGGGTGTCACAGGGCAGACAGACTGAAACCACAACCACAGACAACTAGCCAACCCGATCACATGGAACACAGCTTGTCTAACTCAATGAAACTAAGACATGCCGTGTGGGGCCACCCAAGACGGACGGGACATGGTGGAGAGGTCTGACAGAATGTGATCCACTGGAGAAGGGAATGGCAAACCACTTCAGTATTCTTGCCTTGAGAACCCCATGAACAGTATGAAAAGGCAAAAAGAAAGGACACTGAAAGATGAACTCACCAGGTCAGTAGGTGCCCAATATGCTGCTGGAGAGCAGTGGACAAATAAGAATGAAGGGATGGAGCCAAAGCAAAAACAACACCCAGTTGTGGATGTGACTCGTGATAGAAGAAAGATTCGATGCTGTAAAGAGCAATATTGCATAGGAACCTGGAATGTCAGGTCCATGAATCAAGGCAAATTGGAAGTGCTCAAACAGGAGATGGCAAGAGTAAACACTGACATTTTAGGAATCAGCAAACTAAGATGGACTGGAATGGGTGAATTCAACTCAGATGACCATTATATCTATTACTGTGGGCAGGAGTTCCTTAGAAGAAATGGAGTAGCCATCATAGCCAACAAGAGAGTCCTAAATGCAGG